CCTGTGGCACGCCCCCCACCCTCTGCCAGCGCCTGGACTGGCACCCCCTCCCCTGCTCAGTAAACCAGAAAAATAAATAAAAGGCAGGGGCTGGACAGACGGATGGACGCAGGGAGAGCGCCCGAGGGGCCAGATCTGCTTGGGAAGCAAGCTGGGGCCACAGCCAGTGGCCCGGGGGGACGCTGGCCAGGGGGCTAGCAGCCCTTGGGGGCCTGGCCGAGGCTCTCGCGCAGGCAGCGGAGCTGCTCCTGGCCCAGCTTGATCTTCTCCTCCAGCTCTCGCTGCTGGGAAGCAAGCTGGGGCCACAGCCAGTGGCCCGGGGGGACGCTGGCCAGGGGGCTAGCAGCCCTTGGGGGCCTGGCCGAGGCTCTCGCGCAGGCAGCGGAGCTGCTCCTGGCCCAGCTTGATCTTCTCCTCCAGCTCTCGCTGCTACTTCAGCTCTTTGGCATCTTCCAGCTGCGCCGCCAGCAGCCGCTGCTTCTCCCGCAGGGCCACCTGCAGGCAAGATGGGAGGCGTTTTGGGGGGTCCTGCACCCCGACACCCCATGGGTGCCCCCCTGCCCCGTGCCCACCTTGTCCTCAGCGGGGGCGTGCGGCCCCAGGCTGCCCAGGGCGGTCTCCACCCGGGCCAGGCGCCCCGAGAGGGAGAGCAGGAGGTTGACCACCTTGTCCAGGTCACCCACGAAGAGGCGGTACTTGTCAAACTCCCCCGGGGTGCAGAGGGCTTGCAGGCGGGCGGCCACATCCTCGCCCAGTGCCCCATTGGCACTGATGTCCTCCTGCAGCCCCCGCTGTGCCTCCCGCAGCACTGCCAGCTTGCGGCTCAGGCTCTCGATCAGCTGTAGCTGCCGGAGGGAAGGGGCCAGGGGTGACTGAGGCCACCCCCCGTCGGGATGGGGGACGGGCACACAGGTGCAGGTGTGCCACGCTGCACTGGGGCCCATGACCGTGAGCATCTGGTGATGCCCCTGGTTCCCATGAGCACATAGCAATGCCCCCACTCCCTGTGAGCATCTGGCAATGTCCCAGTCCCTGCAAGCACCGAGCAATGCCCCTCGCCCGCATGAGCACCCGGTGACATTCCCAGGCCCCACAAGCACCTGACAATGCCCCTGGTCCTTGCAAGCATCTGGCAACATCCCAGCCCCTGTGAGCACCCAGAGATGCCCCTGGTCCCTGTGAGCATCCAGCAGCGTCCCAGTCCCTGCAAGCACTGAGGAGTGCCCCTGGTCCCTAGGAGCACCCAGCGACGTCCCTGGTCCCCATAAGCAACCGCCAATGCCCCTAGCTCCCACAAGCAACCAGATGCCCCAGCCCCCATGAGCATCTGTCAATGCCCCCAGTCCCCAACAAGCACCCGGCGATGGCAGTGGGGAACCCCGAGGGCATCGTCCCCTGCAGTGTCTGCTTTACCTTCTTCTCCACCAGCTCGTGGTCCACGTCCTCCTCCTCTGAGCTCCCCTCCACCACCTCCGGCAGCTCCTTGACCTTGCTGAGAGGCTCGGCTTTGCCTGCTGCCATGCCGTAATACACCGGGTAGGAGGTAGAGCCAGCAGTGCTGCTGGGGGGCGGCGAGATGGGCTCGAAGCCCTGCCTGCGGGGACAGGGGCTCAGCACTGGGGGCGTCAGGGTGCAG